AGTTCCCCAAGGAAAGGGGCCTTTGAAAGCTTTAAGAAAGTAGAATTTGTGGAGAAAGCTCCTCCTTTTCTACGGCACCAATAAACCATGCATCGGATGGGGAGGAATAAGGGAGTTCCCCAAGGAAAGGGGCCTTTGAAAGCTTTAAGAAAGTAGAATTTGTGGAGAAAGCTYCTCCTTTTCTACGGCACCAATAAACCATGCATCRGATGGGGAGGAATAAGGGAGTTCCCCAAGGAAAGGGGCCTTTGAAAGCTTTAAGAAAGTAGAATTTATGGAGAAAGCTCCTCCTTTTCTACGGCACCAATAAACCATGCATCATCTTCTCTAAGCCTTACTAACATCCAACAATTGAATGAGACCCACCCAACTTTCCAACTCCCTGTCCAAGAGCCCTCTACGAAGGCCTCRATTCCAATCTCTTGAGCTCTCATGCCAACAATCAACAATAGACGCTTCTTCTTTTCAGGGATATGCTGTGATCTGATGTTACTCTTTTCAACCTTTTGAGAGAAGCATTAGAGAACTTGTTGATGCAAGAGTTCGTCATCAAAACTGTTAAGAAGACTGAGAGTAGGAGGATCCCTGAAATCAGACCAAGTATACTGTCCGTTTGAGAGAGGAATATCCACCCAAACATTCTGATAAATAAAGAGATTGAACTGTTTTGTGTAAATAGAAGGCCTTCTTCCGTTAGAATTTTCATGAATCCATCACATAATGTTTAAATCACCCCCCAAAATCCAATTATCACAGCAAAGGCAAGAGGGATCCGTTAATTCATGTATAACGTGAGGTCTATATACACCTATGGATAGACCATAGATTTGGAACAAGTTGGTTGATGGGATGAATGGCGTCACAGCAAGGGGCATGGTCAAGGAAAGCATCAACTTCCAACTCAAAGTGAGGGGAAAGGAGGGATGAGAGAGAGACGGCAAGACAGTGAGGCTGGGGGAATCCTCTGTCTGGTTATGAGATCAAATCAATAAGGGAGGTGGAACGTTTAGTATCAGGGATAAATAAGGAATTCCCGTGGTTTAGGGAGATCTTTTCTTTTTGAAGGTATGTGGGTTAATGGGGTGGGGTCTGGGAGAGTTTTTGAGGAAGGAAAAATGGAAGAAGGTTGTAAGGGAGGCAGAACGTTGGAGGTGGCGGGTCAGGGAGCCTTTGGCTAAAAGCGGGTGACTTTTGAGAGGTAGGTGGTGGTGGGTTAGAAGGCTGATCATTGATCATTGAAAGAGGAAGAATAGGGGGAAATCAGCTGCTGTGATTCGATGTAAGTCAGACGAGGAGGACACTGATTTAATTGCTTTGTACAGCAGGACAAAAGTCGTCAATGCATTTTTGAGGAGGGCAAAAGTCAACAATATGACAGTGACTTTCAAACTTTTTCACCTCTCCATAGTCCATATTACATATTGGTCTGACGTGGCGTGRGGAGGTGTTCTTATGTCAATATCAATGCCTTCATGAATTCACATGCTGGTGACTTTGGTGGGTTTYCATGGATGCCGGTAATAATCTTCCATGAAAAATGGATCAATCCAAGCTGTGTTTTTCACATGATGAAGGAAAGTTTATCTCTGCTGGAATGAAGCACGTCAGGATTTTCCTTGATGCTGGACTCCATCAGATCCATTCTGTAGAAAGTTTTCTTTGCCACTTCTTTAAATCCTCCACACCCATCTTCTGTCAATTTAAAAGTTTCCAATTACCTGCTGTCAAAAGGTAGGCCCTACCTTCATCCAGCCACCATGCAACAGTACGACCAGGTCAAGGCAGTATTCTTCTTGAGTCCATGGTTTGTAGATGAGGTGGAAGGAACCTACTTTCTGCCGTCATTGTAATTGGCTGAGGATTTGCACGTGGGCATCCCATGATCGCATTTTTAGGTTGGGAAGGGCTTAATGAGCAATAAGCCGCTGTGGGTTTGGAGGGTTCTCAAAATCTTGTACCCGTCATCGTGGAAGTTTCTTCTTTATACCACAATAATGTTGTCCATTTGAAAGGGCAGGAAGGTTTGGGGAGTTTCAGTGGGTCATGTATTATTCTCTTGGTACTGTAAAGAAGAGAGGTTTGGAACTTAATGCCACAGGCTCAGGGAGCTGATTCTTTTTCTTCTCATTGATGTATCCGTTTTTTGGAACAGCCTCCTTGTAGGTTGGTCTGGTGGTATTAAATGCAGCTTTGATGTCTGAGTCGTAATAGAGATGAGATCTATAATTGAAGTCCATTCTTTCCTTTGTTCTCCCACGGGTATGAGCAATCTACTTTTCCCTCCATTATATCCAACTTGACTATTTCAACAGAGAACCTTTCTTGTTGGATAGCTTCTCAACTCAAAGGACTTGATCATTCACTCTTGTTTCCTTGAAGGAACTTTTGGGTAAAGGCTATATCAAGAAGAAGCTTGAAGCAGTCAACGGGCCAACATAATGTACTCCTATGGATGGTGTAGAGAAAAGCTTTGTCCTTGGAGGTTTCACCTACACTGACCTACTGCATCTGGTGCTAGAATCAACTTGAATAGAGAAGACCTTCCTTTCTATGGTTTTTGAACGATTATTTGGCGAGGATTCCATGGTGAGGGAGGTAAGATCTAGAAGAATATTCCAATGTGTCCATGATTGGGTTGTTCAAAGGGGAGGAAGCGGATGGCAGAAGAGAGATAGGGGGAGAGAGAGAGCCATTTAATAAGAAACAATTTCATTAATGGTATAGAACTAAAAAATGGCTAATCACCCCATCCAAAGGGCTTTTCATTAATGTATGAAAATAATACCAAACAAAAGTCTTTTTTTTTTTTAAATAAGAAACAGAGAATTTCATTATCAAAAAGAGGATGTACAAAAGAGTGGGGAAGAGCAAACCCCAACGCGAAAAGCTACAAAAAAGGTTTCCAGTTGGCGTTTAGACTCATGAAATTATAATTACAAAACAATTTATCAATGAGGCACCAAGAAGAGACAAAAGTACGAACAACTTCCCAGGAATGGACTATGGAGTTTTCTTTCCCTTTGACGATTCTTTGATTCCTCTCATACCAAATCCTCCAAACAAAAGTAATTGAAACAACCCTTTTTTTATTTATAACAGAAAATGTATTAGATCAATAGAACATTGGGATGAAATATCCCCAAAGAGTCAAAGGGTTACAAAAAGGCTTCTCAATTGGAAAGAATATGCAAAGGTTCATCATTAGAAAACTCTTTAAGAGAAGGCACCAAGAAGATGTGTGGAATTTGATAAGGTCCCACAATTTTTGTGCTCAAATCAACCCCATTCTCCCACGAGCACCAAAAAGTAGCATTCATAGTGTTGTCCCACAAAATACTAGAACCACCTTTGAGATTAGGGCCTTGGAGTAGTTGAAAAACTGAGGTATCGTATGAAAGAGGAAAACACCAGCTTACCCCAATTCCCAAAGACATTGAAAAGCTTAGCCCAACAAGCAGTAACAACAGGACAATGGAAAAGGATTGGCAGTGGCTTGTGGAGTCCATCTTGCGTAAGATGCACCAGCTAGGGGAGAGATGACAATTCGGCATTCTTCTTTGGAACTTGTCACTAGTATTCGACTTGCCTTGAAACATAATCCTGAGGAAATCTTTTACTTTCTTGGGATTTTTAGACTTCCAAATGCACTTGATAATAGCTGGGTTAATTCTACTGTGCTTGGTGGACAAATTAAGGGTGGCCGAGTTAACTGAAAAGCAGCCATTAATCACTGTTAAGAGACCACACTTTGGAGTCCTCTTGCATGGATAAACTGAAACAACTCCCTTAGAGGAGAGTAATGAGAGCAACCTCTATCCTGCCTACCATACACTTTTAACAATTTATTTGCATTCCAGCCCTTACAAGAAAGCCTCCCAATTTGAACAAGTTTCATAAAGGGCTTCAACAAAGAACACCAAAAGGAAGCACAAGTTTTGTTCAACTCCCATCGCTCTGCTCGATCACAATGTTTATCTTCAAAAATAATTTGATTTCTTCCAAACCACTTCCAAACCATACTCCATTATGTAGTTTTATTCATTTTTATCCATAATAATTTCACTTTGCCTTTTCAGCTACTCCACAAAGGCATTTTATGTTTACTTTTATTTCGAAATAATAGTCTCAGATTCTCAAATAACTTTTTATAACCAGATTTTTTTTCCCTTTTACCTATTGTTAGTATTTTCATTACCATGGGGATCGAACCTTGGACTTGGTAGAGGATAATAGAGTTAAAGTACATGCATGCACCACCGCCAAGCCATTGTTTAATTCTCCCCTTTTACCTATTTATAACTTCAATGCTTTATTTTTCTTTGCTTAATTACAGTGTAACTTTTTTGATTCGTAATTACATTGTAACTTGTTATAGTTGATGTGTATTGGTCGTTCCCTAGAGAGAAGGGTTTTTTTTGGGTTTTGGGGARGGAAAAAAGTGAGGCCGGTGAAGTTTGGGTTATAGTTAAATATTTCAATTGTTAACTTGTTGGTCTTGAAATGTAAAATCTGTAGCTTTTCATATTTCTTTTTCCTCTATTGTTTTTGTATTCTCTTGTATGTGTTTTTGTTTTCATTTGTCTCAATGAAAAGTTCAGTTTCCTATAAAATATATATATATATATATATACTTTTTCCTCTTTGTATTCTTTCGGGGTACAAATTTTCTATAAATTTGTGATTCTACACTCTACAAAGTTTCTACAGTTTGTCTTGTAATTGAATGTGTCTTATCCTATCTGTAATTTTCTTTCCCAATAATCTAAAATTCCTTTACTCTTTATAATGAAGTTAGGTTTTAACTGTCTGGAAAATTTGTTGATTTAATATATGATTATTGGCGCCTGAACTTGAGCTTCTCTGAACTAACGGGATGCCTGGCTGTGCTTGCTTGTAATTGATTGATGGACTATATATTATTTTTCTTTGATTTAGTTCTGTGCACATATGAATTTTAGGCCATTTTTCACTGGATAAATTAAATTTCAATATTCTCCTAGGTGTGGGGAAAACTTCTCTTGTTCATCTAATTGTAAACGGTTCTTCCACTTCTTGCCCTTCTCAAACTATTGGTTGTACAGTTGGTGTTAAGGTAAGACTTGCCTCCTTTCTCAAGTGACACCAGTTATTCTTGGGAGCCCTTTATTTATAAATTATTCTATTTACTATTTTGCTAGCATATCACTTATGGAAATGCTGGTAGCTCATCAAGTAGTATAAAAGGTGATGCCGAGAGAGATTTCTTTGTTGAACTTTGGGATGTGTCAGGCCATGAGCGCTACAAAGACTGCCGCTCTCTCTTCTATTCTCAGATTAATGGTAAGATCTCTGTACCTGTAAGGTTTCCATAGTTATTCTTAAAATTATAGTTACATAAATTTCAAATTTTATAAATGTGTCTTACTCTTTAGTTACATAATTTTATAAATTATACTCTTCAACATGTTTTKCCTAGACAATTTCAGAAATGCACTAATGTTTGTCGATGTGCTGGTACTATTTGGGAGGTATATTCCCATTTCTTGTAGTGTATTCTGAAGTTTCTTAGTCTGCTAAGGCATTAGATTAGATCAACTCATTTATGTTAGGTAGGATGGCGCCTCCTTAGTCTGCTAAGCCTAAGGCATTAGATTAGACTAACACCTTTATAAAGGGGATTTTTTTGAGCTTCATCTCTCCAACAAAACCAGAAGCCAATTTGGTCGGTTTGACCTGCATTTGGTCAGTGTCAGTTTACAATAGTGTAAAAGTCAACCCAAATCACCTGGTTTCAGTTTTAGGTTATTAAAACTCAATGGTAAGTTGAACCGATTGAATGTTATAAATCATTCCCTAAATGCAACAAACTTCAGCCCATGAGCCCACTCCTCACATGCTTGAGTTCTAACACTCTAGTTGGCCCATATTTAATTTTGGTTCTCTCTCTCTTGCTTGAGTTCTGACATATACTTCGCTCACCGACCGTCCCTATCACCTATGTTCAGTTATAGTAATATAGTTCTCTCTATCTTCTCTGTAGGTGGTCGTCTCCCTCTTCATCTTTCCTTGTGCCCTAGTCTTCTCCTTCACATGTCACTCTCAGACCTTGTCTCTCGTCTTCCATATAGAAGTGTAGGTTGTGGACCTGTGGTCAGACATAAGAATAGCAGCCCTGCCCTTCACCCATCCGTTTTCTGTTTGTCCATTACAACTTGGATATCCAGACAATGTTTCAACTCAAATTGTCAAACTAAACCAACATTTTTACCAAATTATCAGTTTGGTTTTCATCCATTACTCGGAGCAGCTCATTTTTTCCATTTTCTAGACAACTTAGGGGCTGGGTAGAGAAACCCCCCAAGGATATACCCAAGTAAAGCCTTCTAATCATTGCTAATCAAAAGAAGACTATAGTTACTAAAGAACTATAGTTTTCTGTCAGTTTCAATTTCTGTTAAGCTAGAAAACCAAACCAGGCCAAACTGCCTTCACCATTAATTGTGCTCTCTGTGTGAAAAGGAACTGAATCCCAAGGACATCTTCATAAAACTCTCTTTTCCTGAAAACTTTTGGAACTTTGGTTGGCTGGTGGCAGTGACCCAACCTTCTATCCTCAACTTTTGGAGGCCACCCTTTTAGAGGAGAGAGGAGGTCTTGTCCTTCAATTTTTGAGAGCTTTCTTTTGGATTTTGTGGATTGAGACAAATATTTGAGAATTCAACAATTATGGAAAAAAAATGGTCCTAGGATGATGGACTATCACTTTTTTAGATCTTGGTGTAAATTTTATGTATTAGTGTACAGTTTAAGTTCTATTTGTGCCATTTGAAAAGATTTTTTGTTACTTCCTTGACTTGGCTTTCCTACTATTTTTTTTTTTATATATTTATTTCTTACCATCTATGAAACTGTTTCTTCTGGGAAAAAAATGATGTAACCATTAAATTTGAGCACATTAATTATGGGGAATTCATTTTAACTCCTTTTTTTGTAGCCTTAAACATCTTCTCCTCCTTTTCCTTGAAGTTTAATGTGTATCTTTTTTTAAAAAAAAAAAATTCAATTCATTCTTAAATTGTGTATACAGGTGTCATTTTTGTTCATGATCTTTCCCAGAGGAGGACAAAATCAAGCCTACAGAAGTGGGCAGTAGAAATTGCAACAATTGGGACATTTTCAGCTCCCCTAGGATCTGGAGGCCCTGGTGGCCTTCCTGTGCCTTATATTGTTATTGGTAACAAAGTGGATATTGCTGCTAAAGATGGTGCAAGAGGAAGTAGCGGTAATCTAGTTGATGTTGCTCGCCAATGGGTTGAGAAGCAGGGTCTGCTTCCCTTTAGTGAGGAAATTCCATTAACTGAAAGTTTTCCTGGCAGCGGAGGACTTCTTGCTGTAAGACTTACAATTTCTCCATCATTTTTAAAAAWTTTTTTATTCAAATGAGTAACTGATATTCCCCTCTAGTTGTATTTGTTTCACTATTTAGTTTCTCTCTCTTTTGCCTTTCCACTCCWATGGACTTTGTTTCTTTGAACTATTTTCATTTTCATCAATCAATGAAAAGTTCGTTTCTTGTTAAACAAAACTGAGTAACTGATATTTTCCCCTGGAAAAGGGCATTCTTTTCAAAGGAGGGAGACCAATCCTTATTCGGTCAGTGTTAAGAGGAATTTCATCCTATTTTTTTGTCTCTTTTTAAGATCCCAGTGCTGATTTGAAAAAGCTTGGAGAAAATCATGAGGGATCTTTTGTGGGAAGGGGGGTGGATGGGAGGGGATCACATTTGGTTAATTGGGATATTGTCTCAAAGTCAATGGAGGCAGCAGGRGGTTGGGTATTGGTAACTTGAGATTCAAGAATGAGGCCTTGTTAGCCAAATGACTATGGCGTTTTTCCCTGGACCTAATGCCTTGTTATGAAGGATTATTGTGAGCAAATATTGTTCGCATCCTTTTGATTGAGTCTTAGCTAGTGGTCCTACGATCTCAGGTAAATCTGGAAGGCTATATCTTATATCGTCCCTTTTTTCTCACCGTTTGTCTTGTGCTTTGTTAGGTATGGTTCTTCTACTTATTTTTGGGAGGACGGTGGGGTGGGTAGGTGATAAACCACCCTTGTGTCTCTTATTTCCTCGTATTTACCATATTTCTACAAAGTAGCTGCATTCAGTGGCCTCCATCTGGGTTMTTGGGGAATTCCTCTTCTCTTTCTCTGGGTCTCTGTCACTCCTTTATGTATAGGGAATCTTTGGAGGTCGCAAAGTTGCTTGTGTCGTTTGGGGAGGTTTGATTAATTTAGGGGAGGTAGGACTTCCGCCTTTAGTCCTCTAATCATTCGTTGGGTTTCACTTGTAGTAGATCTTTCAATAATCTTTTGAGTGTTCTGTAGTTCCCCTTAATGCCTCGTCGCTCACCTCGCTTTAGGAGGTAAGAATTCCAAAGAAGATTAAGTTCTTTGCTTGCCAGCTTTTATATGGAAAAGCTAATACCATGGACCAWATTAAGAGACATTCTTCCTTGGTATTGGGTCCTTAGTGGTGTGTTCTTTACAAAAGTGCTTACAAGGATCTCGATCATATTTTCTGGAGCTGCCAGTTTGCCCCGGTCTATTTGGGTTGTTCTTGGGGGCCTTCGAGGTATTATTGGATTGTAATAGAAAGTGTAGGGCGATGGTGGAGGAGGTTTTGCTTTGTCCCCTATTCTGGGACAGAAGGGCCTTGTTGTGGCAAGCTTCTTTTTTTTTTCTTTTTTTTTAATGGGTTATTTGGATTGAGAGGAATAATATAATTTTTCAGGGATGGAGAGGTCTTGGGAGAATGTTCGAGATTTAGTTAGATTTGACACCTCTTTATAGGTGTAAGTTTCTAAGGCCTTCTGGATTATTTTTTTGGATTGGGATCTCTTCTTGCATGTAGATCCCCTTTTGGTGAGCTTGTTTTTATATGTCCTATTGTCCTTGTATATTCTTTTATATTTCTTGATGAAAGCTCAGTTTCTTATAAAAAATAGATATATATAGGAAGCAACGACACGCTAAAAATGACGAAATGTCAATGTCAGACACGTGTCAGAACCAACACACTTGGGCATATGTCCGACACGCTAATTAGTGTCCTTTTTTTTCTTTATCGGATATGTTGGCAACAAGCGGGCGCACCATGGGACACGCATGACATGAAGAGAAATTAAAAAAAGTTCAAGCCCACAAGATGAGGCCTAGCCCAACCCACTAGGGTTTTCTTTTTTAGTTTTTCCTTTTA